GTACCGCCCCGCGCTGCCCACGGCACGCACACAAGCACCTTCACGGGGGCGGATGTCCTGGTTCGAGCCGAGACAGAACTAATTCTGCTCAGTGATTTTCCTTCTTAGTTAAGTCTCTTGGAAAAGTGTTTCCAGGCAGCGTCTGCTTCTAGTAGCGACACCCTCCATGTTTACCACGCTCAAACCAGGCCAGCGTTTTAAAACCAAGGTGCTGCCGGGTCCGCAGCTGTGGCACCGCAGGCACTGGCAGGGCTGGGCGCTGCTGCTGCGGCACACCATCCCCGTGGCGTTTTGGTTCCTTCCCTGTTTCGGGAAAAGCAAACGAGCAGCACAAACCTCCATTTTTTTATCCGGTCAGGGCAGTCCTGATGTCTCAGGACGTTTTTGTGGCTTTCCTCCCACACCCCGCCACTGCCGGGGAAGGGTTTCACAGCGAGAGGGACGACAGCACAATCACTACGCTGGGAGAGCACGTTTTGATGCTACTCAGATTCCATACAAACCTCATGCAGCTTTAAAGCAGCAAAGAATTTAGCATTTTCCGTAATGTTCTTTAGTCTTTTCCTTTCATAAGCCGATAACTGTGAGGATCCATCCTACAAAAAAAAGAAAGGCCAGTTACTCCTCATCGGACAGTTACGGGGCCTGCCCCAGGCTGCTGGGAAGTGAGTCTCTAAATTGATTGTCTAAATTATTTAAAAGTGGTTTGACGCATTTGTAAACAAACAAAAGCCCCATACAGACTGGGGGGATCCCATGCCAATGCCAAAACTTGCCCGTATGGGTACTGGCTTGCATTACAACACTCACTCCTAGCATTAATTCCACAAAAGGACAGTTCATCAAAATCTCGCCAGAACCAAAACGGCACTGAAGTGACTCAATGAACAGAACTTCAGCGATACAGCCAACATTGCACATAGACAGCATACAGCCTCGGATCATTTGTATCTTTTATAGAGGAGAAGGTGTACTTGCCAAGCTGAAATGATGATTTAAATATAAATGAACATTGACAAAACCATCACATCTTACTGCCTGCATCCACCTGTAAAAGGCCTGGAAGATGGTTATTGACAGCACAAGTACACACTGGTGCTTTTGCTACTGCGTTTTATAGACTCTGGCTGATAACAGCAGCATTTGTTTCATCCCTTAGACATTCTGAAAGGGTAAAGTGAAGTTTTACACTGCCAGTCAGAGAGGTTAAAAAGAAAAAATATACATAAAGAGGAAAAATACTTTCAAACTTTACTTTTATAAACCTAATAAACGTGTATCTTCGGAATGGCTGAGCAACCACCTTCCCTTTGCTGCAGCCAAGGAGCAAACCCCCCCTGAGTGCTCTGGGAAGCGGCCCAGGGCTGGGCGGTGCCGGCGGGCACGGGAGGGGGCTCCCGGGGGGCACGG